CTCCCCTTGCTCCCTCTCCTGGCTGTCATTGTGTTGGATAGATGGATAGCCACTTGGGCCATGGGGCTCCCGCCAAGAACGCCGTGGTCTCTTTATCCCGGCCCACGTCCTGCTCTGCTTTGCGCCTTCTTGCTTGGGCCTCACCGATACCATCTGGGGTGAATTCGTATCGCTCCGCGTTCGCACGATGGCACTTGGCTTCTGTTTCGTGGTTTCAGCTTGTCGCGCCGACCTGGGGCACACGTCTGGGCAATTCTTGTCACGGGTAGCGCTTGCCTGTCCCAGCCGCGTGGCCGATGCAGCCTCGGTGATGTTGTTGCGCGCTTGGCACGTCGTGCTGGGGTGTGTTGCGTGGGAAAACACGTGCCCGTGGCCCAAGGTGCCCCCAGAGGATTGCCAGGGAGGCCACCAAGGCCTCCGGAGCACCCCTCACGAGGCCCAGAGGTCCCAGGGGCTTCGAAATTGAACGAGAAGTGGGGGGCACCTTGGGCCAGGAGCACATTCAGCAATCCCGGGTCCCCAGACCCCGACGTCATGATTTTTCATTCCCCCTGGAGGTCTCGACCCCTTCTGAGGGACCGGTTTCTCATCCTGAGTCGTTTCTTGATGGCCCCGAGGCCCGGGAAAGGCCCCCTGAAGAGGCCGAAGACAGCGAAGTACTTCCCATCGTGATTTTTGTCAGGCCTCGAGGGGGTCTGGGTCTTTTCGCCGCCCAGGTCTTCGGGCCCTGGCATCCCGCCACCGAGCAGGCGGCAGAGGATCGGTGGCGAGCTCGGGGGGGAAATGAGAAGGAGAATGGCCTCTCGGAAGGCGGCTGGACTTCTCAGAAGGCCTCACAATATTCTGAGAAGCTCCCTGTGTCTTCGGAAAGTCCCAGGTAACTTCTGAGAAGACTGGGGCACTTATGCGCCTTACTATTACAAGTGCGATCACTACGATCACTACTACTACTACTACTACTACTACTACTACTACTACTACTACTACTACTACTGCTACTACTACTACTACTACTATTACTACTAGTTCTACTACTACTACTACTACTACTACTACTACTACTACTACTACTACTACTACTACTACTACTACTACTACTACTACTACTACTACTACTACTACTACTACTACTACTACTACTACTACTACTACGGCTACTACTACTACTAGTACTACTACTACTACTACTACTACTACTACTACTACTACTACTACTACTACTACTACTACCACTACTACCACTACTACTACGACTTCCTACTACTACTGCTGCTACCACTACTACCACTGCCACTACTACTACTACTACTACTACTACTACTACTGCTACTACTATTGCTACTACTACTACTACTACTACTACTACTACCTCTACTACTACTACTACTACTACTACTACTACCACTACTACTGCTACTTCCGACTCTTCTAAGCTACTGGTACTACTACTACTGCTGCCGCTACTGTCACTATTACTACTACTACTACTACTACTACGACTACCGCCACCACTACTACTATTACTACTACTACTGCTACTACTACTACGACTACTACTACTACCACTACGACGACGACGACGACGACGACGACTACTACTACTACTTCTACTACGACTACTGCAACTACTACTACTACTACTACTACTACTACTACTACTACTACTACGCTTTGTACTACGACTATTACTATTAGTATTACCACTACTACGACGACTACCACTACTACAACGACGACTACTATTACTACCAATAGTACTACTACCCTTGCTATTATTATTACTACTACTACTACTAGTAGTACTACTACCACTACTACTGCTACTCACGAGTCGTACCACTTTTACAACTGTTACTTCCGAGCCTTCTGAGCTACGGCTACTCCAACTACTGCTTCTACTACTGCTACCGCTATTACCACTACCACCACTACTATTACTACTACTATTACTAACTACTACTACTTCTGCTACTATCACTGCTACTACTACCATTACGAATACTACTACTACTACTACTACTACTACTACTACTACGACTACTACTACTACTACTACTACTACTACTACTACTACTACTACTACTACGATTACTTTTACAACTACTACTACTACTACTACTACGACTACTACTACTATTGTTACGACTAATAATACGACGACGCCTACTATTACTACTGCTACTAGTACGACCACGACTATTACTACTGCTGTTACCACCATTGACACCTATAACTAGAAGTACTACTACTACTGCTATTACTACTACATTACGAGACGCTCCTTGTGCCTTCGGAAAGGCCCAGGAAACTTCCGAGAAGGCTGGGGTACTTCTGCGCCTTATTGTTACAAGTGCGATCACCACTATCAATACTACTACGACTACGACCACTACTACTAATACTACGATTATGACTACTACTAGTACTACTACTACTACTACTATTACTACTACGACAACGACGACGGCTACTATTACTACTACTACCACCACTACTACCA